CTACCGCTCCCTTGAGGGCCAGTTCGTCGCCCGACTCCACGTTCACGTAATCGGCGATCGACACGACTTTTGACTTCGCATTATAGCTGCAGTTCTGTTCGCTTCCGACGTAAGGATAACTGTCCTCAGAGTCGATGCCGTGGTTTGCCATCACGTACTCGAAGGCCAGGTCTGGTAGGGATCCACTGCACCCTTTGCTGCCCTGAGCTCTGCTGCAGTCGAGGAGGTTTTGCGCCGAAAGGGGCACCAGTTTCCCGGTTTTGATGGCTAATTGTCCCTCAATGGAGGCAACGGTAGAGAAGGCCCAACACGACCCACACTATCCACACATCAATTGATTAGTAATTCAAAAGTGGTTTACAATTAATTCAATTAAAAGTTATAATATGTTTTAGACATACATTTCCCTGATCTTTTACTGGAGTGACCACTCCTTTGTCTCTCCAGTCGACACTTTTAGGCAATTCTTCGTTTGACATTTTGTGGGTATATTTGACACCATTTTTGTGATAATTCTTCGGTTGGAAACGAAAGAGGATTTCATTGAATTCCTCGTCAGTCATGTCTGCGAACTGATTGACACCCAATCGATACGAATGGATCTCATTGTCTGCTTCCATGTTATGGCGGACTATCAGCCGGTAATTGGATTCAAATATCTGTCGTCTCATCACCTCTTCATCTGATCCCTCCGTGTATTCATTGCTTCGGAATTCAGTCTATAATTCATATAAAAAATAATTTTTAATTTTAAATACTAATCACTTGAGTGTGAAAAACCTGAAACTTTTTCCACTCGTTATGGAACTCCGCATCCGTTGGACTCGTTTGTGGTAAGCCTTTGACCACAACTGCCAACAAAAGTAATGCTAAAATAGATTTCATAATTATTTAGATATAATTTTCAATTATAATTAATAATAACTAAAATGTGATTTAATTGTTATGACAAAAACACGAATTTCTATGACTTATATACCAAAGAAATTTTTACTAAACCTTGAAATTTAGTTCTGTTTTCTAAATTCATGTGTAAAATGCACTCAATTTTGTGACAAATATTACTTAATATTACCCCCAAAATAGTACCAAATAATTGCATAATTTTACTGAAAGTTACCATTTCAATGCTTTAGTTTAAATCTTAATAAACACCGGGAGATTATACCCTGCTGTGTATTGTAATTAATTTTAATTTTTTATTATCAGTACAACTTTTTACACATGTCATGTTACTAATATCTTGTTTTAAACACTTACTAATTTATCAGTATCAATTTGCTATACTTATTCAAATCCGGATAAACATTTGTGTAAAGTTAGACAATGATAACAACGAGTGACTCATAATTGTATTTTAAAAACATATTCACGACACCAAAGACTAACCTCCCGTGAAACACCTCCCGTAATAATGATGATATCAAATGTCCCTGATAACAACTTATAGGTGGGCATTGTATTTTCCTATTTAAAATTCATCAAACATAAAGTGCAATATTTTAGGTATAAATAAGCATGCGAACTTTATATTTTATTCATTCAATACCAGTTATTTAATTAATATTTCACTGAAAATTATAAATTACTTCAATACTAAAAATGAGACAGCTACAAATTCTAAGTATAACTAAAATAAATACTATATTCAATAAATGCTAAATATTTAAAACTAAATAACTGTTAATTACAGTATCCCTGGTGTTTGCAATTAATTCAATTGCTGGTCAACACTGTCCGGACAGTCGACTACTGACTCCCTGTACTTGCGAGGAGGAGGAGATGGGCCCCGAGATGACGTACTCCACCCTATTCTGCGGGGGTCACCACGAGCTCGACCTAAAAGCCCTGTTCGCAAACTACAGCCGAACACTGGTCAGGGATCCGACTGAACCCACATTCAAAGACTACCAGTTCACCAAACTATACCTCAATAACACAGCCATACGTGAGCTAAAGGCCCACACCTTCCGG